ATATCAGTGGATTTTTAACACGTGAGGTGTAATGCAAGGTGAGAGGCTCCTGTGTCAGAGGACTCTCCAATGATGCGGCGCAGAAGCGCACGTCAGGGCGCATAATGGCGCCTAGTAGACTGAAGTGCAAATGCTATTAATGAAGCGGAGAGGACAATCTCTCAAAATGCACGTGGCAATACTGAAACCCCTCGGCAGACTATGAAAAGCACATGGCAGACAAACACATGACAATAAGGGAACGTACATGATAGGCTTTGAAAAGTACATGGCAGCTTCTGAAACGCACATGTAAACCTAAAACGCACATGGCAGCAGAAAAGCTCGATACACAGACACAGTGGTACCTGTCACGAAGCTGGATGATTCTCTCAGAGAAATTGAAACAACGGGTGAGGTCAACAGGGCGAAGCAGGTTAATATCTTAGAAAGGTTTCGAAACAATGGAAAGAGAAAGAGAGAGAGAGAGAGGAGAGAGAGAGAGAGAGAGAGAGAGAGAGAGAGAGAGAGAGAGAGAGAGACCATGTGGGAAAGTCAGATAACAGGGGACTTGAGAGTCTATACTGAGCCTATCTGCTGAGATGAACTATCTACTTCTATCTAGATAAACGATAGTCACGTATTATATAAAAATAGGGATGAAAATAGATCTACTATACTGGAAAAATTACATGGAATTTACATGGAGGGACGGAAATAGATGGAGGGTTAGAGCTACAACTACTTCTACTTAATTACCACTATTTCTAGCGTAGACTGTGTTACTCCAGTGTGACTCACAAAGGGCCTCGCTCTTCTTCTAGTTGCTCTCAGTACTGTTTTTGCATATTGTGGTGCAGGAAAGCACGCACCATTGTCCTGTCTACTCCTACCACTACTTCTGTTGTTGACGTGGTTGATTTCTTGTCAACTGATGGATCTGAGGCAACTACCAAATAAACATCAGGAAAACTGTTGATTTCAGTATGCCACATTGTAGTATCTGGTAGATTCTTATACTGCAAGGTTCTTGTCCAACTGGGTTTTTAAATGACTATTTTCCTCGCAATTACGACTTTACCGGTTCGTCTCCTTTTTTTTCCATTCTCCTATAATTCTATTCCTCCCCCCCTCCCCCGAAAAAAAAAAATACCCAAGTTCGTGTAGCATCTTCTCTCGAAGTTTACTTTAAATAGTTTTTCGTGTTTGAGTGTATTAAGTCTTTCAATATCTTAAAGGTTTGAACAAAATATTGAAGGTTTGAACCTAGCTATGTAACCTGTGTTAATTTTTTTGGCTTTATATATATATATATATATATATATATATATATATATATATATATATATATATATAGAGAGAGAGAGAGAGAGAGAGAGAGAGAAATACATACATATAAGACCCCAGAATGTGAAGGATTTAGCTATCACCCAGAAGGCGAAGCCAAACTGCCTCTTATCCATTGAAAAATCCCTGAGCGTAATATCGCCGCAGCTCTGCCCTGCCCCGCGTCCCACTAATGTTGGAAGTGAGGCCATCCTAGCTGTCTTCATTTCCTTCCTCATTTTGGTTACTTAGTGTGATATTAAGATGAAATAACATCTTGGTCCCCCTCATGAAAGACAAGAGGAAAAAGAATCATCCTCAATTATCTCCTTGCCTCTTGGTTCAGTCTTCCCTTTTGCATATTATTCCATCCCCTTTCTCCAAGGCTCCCTAACATTTAATTCTCTCCTTATATATAGCTCCTTGTGACCCTTTGCTCTCTTCTTAGAAGGTCCCTTCAAAGGTTCTTTGATGCTAGTGAGGGGCTCTTGATCTTAGGAATTAGACCAGTGCTTCAGTTCCTTGAATCAAGCCTGAATACCTTTCCCTGAGGCACAATATAACCCATATGGATATAGTGCTCCCCTTCCATGAATGTAATAACAATGCCTCATTATAAGGATCTTAAAAAGACTTCCAGTAAAGGTTCATTCAAACTATGTACGCCCCTTCATTGTAGGAGTTTTTAAAAATAATATTTATCCTCCTCCCCCTTACAGAGATCCTTAAAGCCCTTCGTATTTCTTTTTAAGGGGTCCCTTAAAACCCCTTTGTGGTTTCTTTTTAAAGGGGTCTCTTTAAACTCTTTGTACTTTCTTTTTTAACGGGGCTCTTAAAACCCTTTGTGCTCCTCTCCTCAAAACTTTCCCTAAAATACTTTGTCATTCCCGGCTTACAAGGATCCTTAAAAATCTTTGTTCTCCCTTAATATTTAATGGCCCTCTGACGCCTTTTACCTTCCCCTTACCTTCTTCGCTGCCAGTAAATCTCCTTTCCTACCGCTCTTGTCTTCGTAGGATATTCTCCACCCCTTCCCCCTTTTTCCCCCTTTGGCCGTCTCCTGCTCCACTCACACCTATAATCACAGGGATTTGCTAACTTTACGATAGGGTTGTGGTGAGTTAGGGACACGAGCTACAATCCCCTAATGCGCCAAGCACAAATTTGCTCGAGCTAAGAGCCATAAACAAGCAAGGTAAATATTACTAATTTCCTCAGCCAGATTTTTGCAAGATGAACAATATTTTGAGCCTACGTCGTGTCTTCTCTCTTGCTCTCCTCCCTCCCCTTCCGTCTCTTCCCCCTCCCTCCCCTCCCGTCTCATCCGCTCGCTCGCCTCCTGTCTCTTCCCCCCCTCCCTGCCTCCCTTTGTCTCCCTCCCTCTTTCTAGTGATGTTGGAAGCCAGCATTAGCCTTATCGCCTCTGCTATTATGAATTGCTGATCTATGGAAAAATCATTCATTATGGAAAGAGGCAAAGGGGCTGGAGGGTGGCTTCAGAGACAGATGTAACTCACGGGAGTGGAGTTAAAAAGAGGAGAGGCAAGACTGAGGTCCTGTTAAAACTGTAAAGAGGACCTCCAAAGTGGTTTACTAAGAGGAATTGTAATTATTTGTCAGTTATACTTGCGTGAGTTATGTTGCAGCCCATTTCTCTTAGTAGTGTAATAGATGACCGTGAAAATCCCCCATTTAGGGTTATATTATTTCCCCTCCCAGAAACCTCGGCTACGTGGTCATGACTAGTGATTGTGTATTTCCATACTTCATTGTTATTGTAATAAATTAATGTATTCACTTATGTACTGGTTCACTTCTTCCCTTTTTTTCCCCCGGCATATTTCTCTGATATTTATTTACATGATTAAGTGAAATTTAAGTTTGAACGCGCTCTATCAAGAGGTGAAGGAGCACTTGGCACAAACCTGGTCTCTCTCTCTCTCTCTCTCTCTCTCTCCCTCCTTTCTTTGTCATCCTTCCTCCTTTTCCTGACTCCGATCAAGGCAAGGTGACCCAAAGAAGAAAAATGCATTTACCATCACTCACACTCTAGCAGTCTTTCAAGAAAAACATACACGTCAGCATCAAAGACGACTCACCAATCAATCTCACCACGTAACATTCGACGTGCAGATACCAATGTCTGCCTCCTAGGCTCAAGTCTAGTTAACCAAGTTTTCAGAAAGCTTCATAGATAATTTCTTATACTCCAGCAGCACATCAAATCCCAATGACAACTCACTTTTACTCCGAGCTGACACACCTGTTTAGGACCCTATCAAAGTAATATACCATCTTTAATCATCCCACCCTATATTGAATTATTGTTTGTACATGGCCAAACCCTCATATCACTTAATACCACAAAATTTTCCAAGATTTCACCCTCTTCTTTCGTTGAAGCATTTAAAGATCATTCCTCACATCAAAAAAAAAAAAAAAAAAAAAAAAAAAATCCACAGATTCCTCGACATTCCTGTAACTTTCTTTCTCTCGTCTATTTACGTGTTACAATTCCGTCAATGAACAAGCCACTGTGATATCACGTATCCTTGTCTGTGACTTGTTAAATGAAAATTGTTTCTATTTCTTTCCCTTCTTTCCTACATCCAATTATACTTATGCAATTTTTTCCGTATCAGAATGCCTAGTTTATCATGATATATATATCTAGTTTATATATACACTTATTGCAAACAATCGCAGACAGGTTATTTTAATAATGCAAGACAAGCCACTTGGGGTTGAAATCTTTCTCTCTTTAGGTCAAGTACTTTGTAGAGGCACAGCTGAATGGCATTCGGCTGTGCCTCTCGCATTCTGAAAGAGAGAGGTGCTGGCGGGAGCCATTCACGATGCCATACTCTGAGAAAACTTCCCCTCATTTCTGTTGCTGCTTTGCAACTTGCACAGCTCCTGATGACGCACAGAGATGTGTGAAAGTACTTGATCTAAAGAGTTTTACCTCCGTGGCTTGTCTTGCATATATGCTTGTCTTCCTGTGATATATTTCATCGTATTTTTACCATATAAATACCATTCATGAACACACAAACATTGTATTAAGTAATCACCAGCATATGTCTGAACAGCATTTGTACTCAGGCTGTAATAAAGCATACTATTTTTATTACTATCATCAGTTATTGTTATTGTGTTTGTTATTATGGCTATTGCTAGTATTTTTTGTTTTATTTATAATTGCACGGTAAGTAAAGGAACAACATGCAAGAAAGACAACAATAATAACCCCTGTTGCTTCTCGACCACAGTGCCATGATGACACACACGGACAGTTGACGTAGGATCTATATTAAGAAAATTAATGTTAACAACCTGAGTCTCTGTGGGGTTAACTGATAGGCTATTAGATTTGTGCATCGGATGCGACCCACTGGCTGTAATTCATAGGCAATTATTATTCTTGTTCCTTCTCCGAGAAAATGTAGATTTAGGGCTCGTGCCTCATGTAAATGATATGCTATTGTGAAATGTTCCCCAGGCAAAGTAAAATTATGGTCTGTGTCTCATTAGGTGTAATTGGTAGTTTGTTTTGGTTATTTGAAGGGGATTAGAAAGGATGAGTTTCTTAGGATACTAGAGGGAGGGGATGTGAGCCTGCTCCTCTCTTATTCCTTCATCGCTCCTACCCTTTCTAAATCGTTTCCCTGTTTACGTCGCATCCGAGGACCTAC